CACCCTGTAATCTTCTCCATTATTCTCGCGAAGGAAAGAGTATCCGCCGTCTTCGTCGTCATTGTTGGGAATTTGGAAGGATCCCTCGGATGGGAATGGCTCTCCTTCTGTCGATGCGGATACATCAGGTAGATGTACACCAAGGTATTGGTTGGGCATTCACAGTGACTACGACCAAAAGACCCATCAGCATGATCATTGAAAGAGTACGTTTAGACGTACCCGAACCATCCTGGTGATGACAGGACCCCTGGCAATACCGCCAAACCTATGGTCCAGGGAGGGGCCGTTTTTATCCGGATCCCAAAAAGGAAATCTTATCCGCACTTTGCACCAAACCTCGCCCGTAGCCTGTTTTTATCCGGACCTACACCCAGACATATGTATAATGTACGCCCGCATCCCCGAGAGTCCTCCTAGCTTTCCCAATTTTTCTCGCCAGGATGTGTTGATGGGTTTTCTGTATCTGTAGTAAAATGTCATATCTAGATCGAATTCCTCTTCTGACTCGTCAGATACATCTTCTGCAGCCTGAAGGCGCAGAATGTTATAGCCGTTTCCATAACATTACGGAAAATCGACCTCAATTGAAAATGTATGTACATATTTGTAGAACGGCCGGCAGGCCTTCGGCAGCTGGGCTGTCGCCTGACGCATCAGTTCGTGTTTACCCTCTGCCCAACTTGACCATTGCCTTCACGTCGTCATTCTACCATTGCATATGTCTTCTCCTTCATCATCTCCTACTCCAGAGCCGCAAGATGAGGACTCTCAATTATTTGAGATCATGACCTCTGCTACTCATTATATTGCACAAGCTCGCAAGAAAGGACGTGGAGGAAAGCTTGGCCCGGTTACCTACAAGACCGAGACCAAGAACAAGCAAGTTGAATTCAAGTTGGACCCAGACGACAGCAAGAACTACTCGAGCTTTCTCAATACTATCTATCGGCTACATGATTCGAAAGCAAAAGGAACAATCACCGAGAAGAGCCCGTATTCTTTCAAGATGGCAATTCCTCCCAAAAACACGTAACTTTTCCCAGTATCCGACAGTTTGACTTGGGTTACTCATGGCTTTCTTTTCTTCTTAGCAAAACCAATGCCGTTGACATAGACTTGCGTGAAGAGTATGAAGACCATGTCAACAAGTTGCTGGCGGCCGTTAAGGATGGGGGAGGATCTGGTAAAAGCACAAAACCAGTCGCTGTATGGTTTGATATGAAGCATGCTAAGGGCTTCCTGGTACGACTTCCTTCCTCTATGACCTGAGCCTTTCACTGAATGCATTGGCAGAAGAAGGACACCGGTAACAATGATGATGACGATGACAACTCTGCCAGAAAAGATGGATCAAACGAAGACCATGCTCGTTCAACTGATGATGAAGGGAGTGTTGATGGAGACGGACTCACCAAGTTAGACCGTGCACTGGCCGAGATAACCTTGGATCTACAGAAGAAGTACGCTGTCGCCGGCGAGGAAAACCGTTACGCCTATCTTGACCCGGAGACTGGAATACTCATCTACCTCACACCGCAGATGACCAAGGAGTGGGTACGGGGATGTGTATGATTTTTTTCACCTTTTCCTTCTGTCTAGTATGATAAAATTTGCACTCTCGACGCACCCCCACACACAACTACATTTGACTTTGTCAACCGTCAACGATCCATCAGGCGCCATCGCTCAGTATCCAAATCTTCTATGACTGAGAAGGGTCCTCTCAAACACGTTGTCGACATCCTAGGCCACTTGAAGGACATCTCCGGCAACCGTTCTGTTGCAGTCGACGTTCCGGACACCACTTCCTCCCTTCCGGAAGCGAAGAACACTCCCACCAAGCTCCGCTGTTATCTCTTGTATGCCAAAACCCAACACAATTTTTTGTTCCTGCCCGCGCAGAGGAGGCTATGACTGAATTGGGGTTTGGTCCAGACATCCTGCATCTGGTCACCAGCAGCGAGCTTGAGCAGCTGGGATTCACAAAAGGGGACACTATCCGCATCAAGACCCATGCAGAGAAGTGGTGGAAAGGACCTGATGCTCGTCAGCCATTCCGCCGCTCCCAATCCCCACATGCACGCTCTCCTGCAGTCAACCCCAGTCTGCCTAACCCTGGCCCATCTACCCCTCTACGTGTTCCTCGCCCTCAGACCCCAACTAATGATTCCCGCAAGGCAGACATCAGGTTCAAGAAACAATTCCGTGATGGTAGTGGTGCATCAACTGTTTGGGGTTACGGTTTCATGGATGCTGGATCACCCAAGCCAGACATTGACTACAACTGGTTCTGGTATTCCAATGACCTCAAGCGCTACCTTCCAATGCCATGCGGAAGTGCACCCGAACTCGAAGGGCAAATATGTCCATTGGATATGGACTAGGTTCACGTGTATGTTTTTGTTGTTTGTTGTTTCATTACTCCTCACTCTTTGCTATCACCTTGTTCTCCTTGCTGTGACCTGTCACTCTTGCAACCTTTCCATCCATGATGTCGCTTATTCATCCCTGTACCATGCATCTTGTCCTCTTCTTGTTCGAAGTTTCGCTCTCAAGTCTCTAGATGTTCTGCAGTCGGACAGTTCTTATTGTAAAGATATAAAATACAATTGTCAGTCAATACCAATCATATGGTTCTTGTACAGATTTACACAACGTAACCAGAAGAACGGAAGAATTGCCAAGCCATGTCGCCAGTAATGTGCTGGCAGGCACGGTCCAATAGTGAAAGTGACAATTCAGTTGGGTCGCCGTGGCGACGGCAATAGGACTTGATGCATGAGAAAGCTTGTTCGATGGGATTGAAATCGGGTGAGTACGAAGGCAAGTAGACAAGCTTGCACACTAGAAAACAGTCTGAGATGCTATATATCAGGTAGTAATGGTATTTACTCACACAGCTCATCTTCTACCAGTTGCCGTACCTCTTCTGCATGATGGATATTACAGTTATCGAGTACAAGGATGCTTCGCAGGCCAGGATAAGGATTGGTGAGAGGTGCCTATAAAGTCAAGTAAGTCAACAGAACATCAGGACATCAACACCGTACTTACCAGATGGTCTCGAAGGAAGTCAACAAATTTCTCGCTGGTCACAGATCCAGGGATGATGTCGTATGCAACAATACCATCCAGAGTGAGGACTGGAAGGATGGAAACACGCTGTCCTCGAACGAAGTGCCTGCGTACAACACATCTCATTCCCTTCAACGATCACCCCATCTTCCTCTGCAGTGTACGTTGATCCTTTGCTGCCTCATCCGTGAACATCAACTGCGCGGGATCCGTCACCAAATCGGCCATCCTGTTCACAAAAGCGGCACGAAGAATGGCATTCCGCTCCCAGGCTCGGGCAGATACGCACTTGTGAGAGAGATCAAGACGCCGCAGGGTCAATACAATGGTTTGTAAAGAGACCTCAACTCCTCGTTTCTCGCGCAGCTCTTCCTGAATCTCATCGAGATAGATAGAGGGACGTTGGATAATAAGGGAATGGATAAAACGAACATCAATTCTTGAGAGTGTGCGTGGTCTACCGCCTTTGTGCCATGCTCGGACATTGAAGGGTACACCATATGAAGCATGGTACAGAAGGGTGTCGTACACGAAGGTTTTTCATACGCCAAGAATGAGACAGATCTTCTGGACATTGTAGCCCAGTCTATGGTAGAGAAAAGGTACACGGGCGTGTAGATCATCCGAAATAGTGCGGCGTGCCATGGTGGTTCTGGGTAGAGACGTTGATTGGAAAGCCGCTGGGCAGCCGAAGGCCTGCCGGCCGTTGAGCAAATATGTACATACATTTTCAACTGAACCCGATTTTCCGTAATGTTTTGGAAATGGCTGTAAAAATTTCGCGATGTGGATTCTTATGAGTGTCCAAATGGGAAAATATTATTTTTTCCCCCGCGACATACTTTCCCCTTCCCCCCCGTTATCCCCCACAATATTATGTGTTCCCACGGGGGATTCTGGCATGTTGGCTAGGCGCCTAAATATTTTCCGCATATCTCCCAGCTCTCAGGTGCGTCCCACAGGCCAGGCTCAGTAATCTAAGCTAAAATAAGTATCATACTACTCTTTTGTACCTAATAGGACTGTGCGTGTTCGATATTTAACATTTCTAAGCTGTTCTGACTTCCCTGCACTCTAGTTTCTAATATAGGCACCCACAAGTGCTTAGGCATAGTGATCTAGGTATACTGAGTGTTCAAGAGATTGATTGGGACTATTCAAGTGACATTACAGATTTTCTAGCTTTTCTGAGTGATGTAACTCCCTTAATACCACCTTCACCACTACAGAAAGTATACATCACTGCATATATTAACATGTTGAGGACCCAGGAGGATGCATAACTATCTACAGGAACACAAATGATGTTGCATTCCAGGCCAAAACCCTCCAAAGTTGTAGTGGAAACGTGACTTACTCTCACGGCCGTCGCGTTGCAACTCATCTCTCGATTCATTTTTCTGACTCGCATGCCTGACTCTCTGTACTTATAACTCATACATACGTGTCTTGACTCTTCTGTGACTCCTATAGCTTACAAAACTCCTACATATTCATGACTAGGACCCTGCCGTAAATGTTCCTCAGAATGACAAGCGCGTGTACCAACCGATATATTACCATGAATTGATACATCTTTTTGTTGGGCAAGGCCATATCGCTACATCTATCCTGAGGCTTGAGTGTTCAAAAGCCTGAGTTTTCCAGAATTATTAAGACTGAATTAAGGGAATTTGGCGCAAGTTCTTGGACTATATATCTTTGTTGACCCTGAAGACACAGACTTGCGCCCACACACAGTGTATATACTTGCTAACCAATTAGACTTTAACGTGTTACTCAAGGGCATGCATTCCGATCGCTCACGGAGCTTGAGCCCTCTCAATCAGCTTCAAAAATATTGTTCACGGAAAACTGACGTCAAAGGCTTTCAGAGTGTCCACCTTGACCTATGTATACCTATCTACCCACGCCTATCCGACTCCGTTATGGTGTAGTGGCTAACATTATCGCCTCTCATTGACTAACAAATGAGCGAGCGCGATAGCCCAGGGTTCGATTCCCTGTAACGGAACTCTCGAAGCCTGCAGATATCTTTTGTTCATGAGGCTGGGTCGTAGTGGGACGAGGAGTACAAAATCACATCGTTAATGGAAACTCCGCCGTCCGATTTTTGATGAATAATCAAGTTTCACAGTCTACCTCTATATTATCCATAGCCATGCGGTGGTACGTGACGGTGGAGCATTCCCGTATCTGGCAGGAGTGTACAAACACTCAAGAATCCGCCGCGATTGTTTACTCCAGGCTACGTACACTGTTTCAATACACCGTCTGATACTATAGCAGTTTCAGATTGCTTCCCCGCTAGGATAGCCAAACGCATTGGCGGGTAACAGCAAGGCTGCCGCTTGCTGGCTTTGCTGACTCTGGTAGGCCACGCGAGTCGAGAGACCGCTTTAATCGCGATCGAGTCAATGAGGATTTTCTGACTTTGGGTGAGTCGACTCGGGCAAAGTAGTGGATGTGGAGGGAATATAAGTAACGTACTCAACGATTTGTTCGTTATGCATCTGAGTCTCATCGCACAAGCCTTCAGGCTATGGGTTCGCAGGTGAGGCGGCCCTAGTTCATTGATGCTCAAGCGCCGAGTCGGGTGGAACAAGAAAGCGGTCGGAGGAATTAGTCTAACCAGCGCATGTGAAGAACTCAAAAGCTATGGATAACGTTGAAAAAGGGAAGAATCGAGATGCTTTACGTCCGAGTCCCAAACATGAAGCTTGAGCTTGCGCGGTGGTAATTTGCCGTTTGGAGCAAGTACGGTACCTATCTGATTTCTAACCGTAAATTTCCACCTCCTCGAACCTTGGCCAGATGATATTCTTCGAGAAGGGCTTCAATACCTGAAAATATCGTTACAGTCGAGTTTCTACTCACCCCTGCTCTCAGAAATAAAAGAAAGATTTCACTTGGAGTCGCGCCAGGACAAACAATGAACTGTACGGTCCTCGTGGTGGGTCAGTGTGCTTCACCCAAGTTACAGCACTCTGATCGCTTTTTAAGTTTCATTTCAGACTGATATGAGATGTATCATGCTGAATTATTCTCAGAGCAACCATATCTCCTCGCTCGTGCCGCAGCAGTGACAGTCAACGAGAGATTAAACCGGATTATTTTTGGGCTACTGCTAAGGATAGACGATGGATGTTCCCAAATAGTGGTGTTCGATTCACCTGGTCTCTTGCACCCATCAGGACTCGTAAGTAGTTCAGTAGCTCTCAAATTGCTGGATCTTTGATTGCTTTTTACGAAGGGTATCTTGCCTCCCGGATCCTAATTGATTGGGTGGACCGCTTTACGTGAATGACACTGTTTACCCGCCTTGCTGGACAGCGGAGCCTCTCTGTTGCCTCCGGTTTCAGGCACTTCTAGTACATTTGCCTTGGACGTTTCCTGGTAATTGGCGGCTATGATCAAGGTCGGGAAGCTAGCAACGAGGCTCCAGGACTGCATGTCCAAAGCTTAAAATGCTACCTGGTACAGAAACGTAGGAATTGCGACTCATGGATGGCATGAAGTTTACCCACTGAAAGCGCACAACATATGCGGAAAATCGTCCAGAAGTAAAATCGAGATGGAAGTTGGACTAAACGGGGTTGAACCCTAACCCTTCTCGGAAGCGAGGGTGGTTCGCTGTTTGCATATGATTCACTCTCACGGGGTGATCCGCTACCACGACGCGCCTCATTCATTGTGAACTGTTCATAGAATAATTTTACCTCAACACATTGGCAGGTCAAAGCTTCCGAGCAGCCTCGCCGTTGATCCTTAGCTCTTCCTCCGACACACGAAGTTTAACCTCAATCAGCGATTGGACGCCCGAACTGAACTGGAAAACGGTATGGCGGCAACTAAAGAGGGACTTTAGACAGAATCCTCGCTTCAGCTACAAGTAAATTACAGCATATGGTTGGTCTGGGTCTCGTATCAATCGCTCATTATACACTCGTCTTATCGTGACGCCACCACCACTGGTTATGGTTGTTGGTATCGCAGTCCCAGATCTGAAGCTTTACGAAGAAAAGCGGTCAGCCGCCGCACAACAATCGCAAAATCGTCCGAGGGTTCTTCTACTTACGTTGTTCATGACGTCGTAATTTCCGTTCCTTACATCCACACACTTGTTCTTTCCAGCCCATGAAAGCACCCATTGGCCTTCTATAACTCCCGCATGACTCCACATCTGGTTCGCGTTTCCCTCTGAGCACGACCAGATCTGGAGGGAGTTCCCATTTGACGCATCCCCGCCAGGAACATCCAAGCACTTTCCGTTGAACGTCTTGATCTGGCCAGTCTTACCAACGTCGGGCATGACCCAGGTGATGTTGCCGTTGGGGAGCTCCGGTGATGCATCGACACAGTACCCGAGGGATACTTTCGCTCCATCGTTATTGGAAACGGCCGTCAGGCATACGGAAGATATATGTGGGCGTATGCCTTGTGCGAGGAGTAGGCTGCCACCGCTGTTCTGAGCTTGGGCAGCGGTGACCATCAGGAGAGTAGAGGTTGCGACAGCGAAGAAGGTCTTGGGTTTAGAAAGCATTGTACACAATGGAGTCACAGTGGGAGCTCTGAATGTCGGGGTGGAAACTGATGGGGCTGTTGCCTTGAGTCATTACTTTTATATCAAAACCGGTAGATCTTACTACATAAGTGGGTCGGGTAACAACGGGGAGACAAGCGTCCTGTACTATTTCTTACAACGTTGAGGTCATCCCGTAATACTTTGATTAATATTGGCTGGGAATATGAAGGTTGATGTGACCCTGAATATGAGAGGAAGACTCGACTACTCACCCGGCTTGGGTTCATATTGGGTTCAAACGGAATGATATGACCTCGAACGGGTATTAACGCAGCGGTTCGGAGGCATTTTGGGAGCCGATGAAAACTACGGAGAGCTACCTGGGCTCACCGGCGGAAAAAGTTATCAAGATGAAACGGATACAACCATCTCAGCCAGTGTATGATGGCATCATGACAACTCATCCCACAACCCCTGATCAATTAGCCGTCAAGATTGCTCGGGCGGTAGTCTTATCCTTGTAACAATTTAGAGTCACTTGCAAGGAAGAGTTTCCACGGCCGAATTAGAAAAGGAATGAGTCAAATTTCCATCTTTCTTCTTCGTCCTCAACGCCCCGCCGTGAGCTCACGCGTACAGCCTGAGCTGGTGAACACACCTAGGCTTCTATGTTCAGAACTAACCACATCTCTATAGTCTTTGAAGTGAAGTTTGAAGCCGAACAATCAATGTTACTCATAACTGTATTAATGATCTGATCTCTCACCTGTACGCACACCTTATTTGAGCGTGGATATGCCCCAACCTCCCGTTCCATTTAGCTGTTGATACTGCTTTATCGTATGTGCATACTCGTCAGTAATCACAACTGTACGCACCATTCAAATCTCAGGTGTGCCGCCGCTACCCCCCCCCAAATGACACTTCCCAAGTACGATTATCGCTATTACAATAGAAAACAAATAGTTCAGATTAAATGGAACATCTTTAATTCAAAAGTATGACCTACACCGCTGGGACACACCAGCCTGTTCACCCTCTGGGCACTGGGCAGGGCAGAGTCTGACGCTATCAGAATAGGACTCCCTTGTAGCCTACATTCAATCCAAAACAATAAGTAAACCTTGTTGCAGCACACTGACACAAACTACTGATTCAACTCTCATACCGCTAGGCCTCCCCCCTTCTCCGTGTCCTTTGTGGGCTCCCCTAACACATTTGTCTTGAATGACTCCTGATTGTTGATAGTCAATCCCAGCGCCGTACGTATGATGATCAAAGTTGAAGCAATTCCCTGAGTTGAGAGTGCCAGTTTAAACAGCAAATGACGACTGATGAATGCAATACTTACCATTACAGGCACCATCAAGAAGTAAAATACCTGGAAGCATATGTCGAGCACGGTCTCGATACGTTCTGCCCATTTATGATCATGCCAATCAACTTCAAACATGCGGCAAAGTGTAAATGTAGCCTACAGAGGCCTGCCCGGAAGCGACAATGACCCAGAAGCGAAACATGCCAGTATTCATGTTTTCTTCCTCGTCTGTGGTCTCGAGCCACTTATGCACCTCATTCTCCGTCGATTTGAGTCCATCCGGTGGAGGCAGGTTGAGTACAAGAACTACAATCTACAAATTTTGACCTGCAGACTTGGGTGCACGTGACCTTTGGCACACATTTGGCGGTGTTTCGCTTTCCCGGCAACTGCCATTTTTGCCGCTATCTCAAATTTTACCATCGTGAGCCTGGAAATCTTGACCGAAAAGTCTGCATTTATTCTGGCATCATGTTCAGACCATAATGAGTCTGTCTATGCTCAGCAAGCATGGGACTTCAGCCATCTGTCACAAATTGAGGCCAATTTACGTGGGCTGTTTCGTTTCTGGGCAAGCTTCTGTATATGGAGAGATTCAAAGGATAGAGGGATCCTGATTCCAAGCTGTTGATGGTAAGAAAGGGGTCACTATGTGCTATACATTGGCAGCAAGTACACAAAAAGCTCACCTTGCAGCAATGATGGTTTTATGAATTCTTGATGCGCGCGAAACACTACATTTTACGACTTGGCGGCTGATATAAAAGATGCGGCCAGCTGGAGCAGTCCTCAGGAATAGTGTGCAGCTTCTTTCAGCACGATTAACAACTCACCGATAAAACCAGTCAACAAAACATGTACGACCAAACTCACGAAAGAGAAGCACAATCTCGTCAAGATCGGTTCAGATCCCGGTCCCGACCCCACAAGGGCACCCCGCCAGAATATGACGCTCAAAATGCCCAGCACTTGTCAATACATTCATGAGTTGGGGACTAATAGATGAGTGCTAAATCTTTACCAAAATTGTTCAACAGGCAAAGAGTTCCTGGAACAACGATTACCCGACGTCGCCTACCCCACATGAGATAGCACCTCCCGAGCTAAGGCCGATTTGCGACCATCGTCAGTGAGAAATGCCTGCAGGTCGCAGATGTAGTACTTGGAAGTT